CTTATCGTCCTTCTTAGGTACTGGAACCACGTTAGTAACCCATTGTGGATAAGAAGTGACAACTCATAAACCGACATTGAACCGTTTCATGACTTCAGCCTTGATCTTTTCTGACATTTCTGGCTGCATGCGATGAACCTTCTATTTCATTGGAGGGAAAACCTCTTTTGTTGGTTGGCGATGAACCACAATATCAGTGTTAAGTCCTGGCATGTCTTCATATGACCAGGAAAAGACCTCAACATAGCCATGTAGCATCTGTATTAACTGCTCTTTGACACTATGCTCCAGATCGGCACCGATCTTGACTTCCTTCTTATCCTCTTCAGTACCCAAGTTAATTGTCTCAACCGGCTCTTCATGAGGTTGTATTGTCCTTTCTTCCTATTGTAGCAGTCTGGCAAGTTCCCCTGGTACTTCACAATCTTCTTCACCTTCGTCCTTGGCTTGGTAGATTGTATTTTCAAAGTCATAATTGGCAATAGCAGAACCATTATCAATGGGATCCAGAGTGGATGTGGATCTGCAGTTTGATATGTGGGTGTGTGTAAGAGCATAGTTGTTTTTGATAAAGTAAAAAGTAGAAAAGAAAATAGAGAGCGTAAAATTTGTATGCAAAACGTTCAATGATTTATTAATGACATATGAATATGAAGCAATAACCCTCACAAATAGACCATTGTGCCTCGGGTAAGACAAAAGACTTTAAATTTCAATTGCTCAAATATTACATATCCTAAAAAACAAAAAGAAAATTACTCCTGAATCAAAGTAATAGGCACAAAATCTTTGGCCTCTGAATTGTTGATTACACTGCTGATAGTTGGAAAGATCCACTTGTCCATGTCGCATTCGATATCATTGTCTTCTAGAGCATTGAATCCATGGTTGATGATTCGTAGTGGTGGTCCCCTGGCGCTAACGTGACGAACAACTCTCTGGGCTCCTGAAGTAAAACCCAAACCAAACTTGTCAGATTTGTAGGGAATGTCTGGAAGTTGGCCCCAAATGGTACATCCACCTTCTTCAACTACTGCTTTGGCGTCCCTTAGAGAAGCCATCTTCAGCAGAGGTCCGGTAGTCTTTGGAACACTAGTAGCAGTCTTGGTCGCAGCAATTGTCTATGTAACCTCATCAAAGTTCTGACAGGGGGTCTCAATTAACTCGTCGTCCATTTCAACATACCTGAAAGAGTTCAGGTGGCTCACCATGTATTCCTCGTCCCCTTGGATTATGATAATATTTCCATTGACTGGGTACTTCAGCATCTGATGTAGGGTAGAAGTAACAGCACCAGCCCCATGGATCCAGGGTCGACCCAATAAACAGGAATAAGATGGGCGGATGTCCATCACATAGAAGGTTGAGTCAAAAGTCTTTGTACCAACTTTGATAGGGATGTCCACCTCCCCGTGCACCATTCTTTTGGAACCATCAGAGGCCCTTACCACAATGTTACTGGGCTTCAATGTGAGTCTTTCACAATCTAACTTGTCTAGAGCATTCTTGGGTAAGACATTCAGCGATGAACCTGTATCCACCAGAACATGAGCTAGGGTAGTGCCCATGCACTCAATGGAGACATGCAGGGCATCATTATGTTTCCTTCCTTTGGGAGTTAAATCAACATCAGAAAAACCCAGTCTATTATCAACGCTCAGGCTGAAAACACAGTTCTCAAATTAATCAGCGGAGGTCTCTTAAGGAACATCGGTAGACTTTAGGATATTTACTAAAGCCTTAGCATGGGGTTCAGAGCACAAAAGTAAGGCCAGCATTGAGATCTTTGAAGGGGCTTGGCCCAACTGTTCCACAATGTTATAATCACTCTTATTTATCATCTTCAATATCTCTTCCATTTCTTTTTTAGAAGCCTCGGGAATAGCTTCCTTATGTGCCTTCATCTGGACAGGCTCAACCAATACTTCTTTTCCCTGATTCTTGGCCGACTCAGTAGCAGGGATGACAGCAGGAGCAACAATAGGAGTACTAGCAAGAGTAGCAGCATGGATAATCACAGGAGTAGCAATGGTCTTTGGAGGGATCTCGGTGTTATACCCCATTTTTTTCCCCTAAGATCCCTCATCATACTCTGTACATCTCATACATAGCATTGTTCCCATGGTTACAAGATCGAAGAGCTTTTGGCATTAGGGTTTTTTTTATATGGATTGAGATTGCTACCTTTCTCAAGTTCGTTCAGCTAGTGCTCTCATCATTATCGTGGAACTAGGGTTTTGGATCACAAACATCATAGACATTTTCACTGGAAAAATTCTTCGAGATATAAGGTTCTGAAGTCAGAGTTTTGTTCCCTGCGTTATCTCAAGTCTTCTTCATTAATATGCACGCAAGGAAGTTAGAGAAATTAATCAAGGACTTCTTTCTTGTGGTGAGACTTGCCAAGTGATTAAGTGTGGCTTTGGGTTTTCAGCATAATATTTTGTTTACTAAAGAGCGAGTAATACAGCATGGTAGGAGTTTGGAGATTCTTTGTAATCAAGGCTTTGTTATCTCTTCAACTTCTTGATTGTTTGCAAGATTTGAATTTGAAGAGTGAAGTAGAGAATGGATTTATTATTGTGAAATGTTTCTCTCAAGATTGGTTCAATATAATTCATGCATATTGTTTGGTTGGAATATAATTTTCATGTAAAAATTCAAAGTATAATCTGAATTCAAAATCTAGTCAAGTGGACCATCGATAATTCAAATTACAAAGGCCTTTGTCATTGTATCCATTGTTTGTTACTTGTCATACAAGTTGGTTTGGATCTGAATTGAGAATTAAAATATGATTTAATGGATGTTTTGAGATTCGTTCAAGCATCATTTAAGAATCAAAATTCATTCATCCATTATCATCAAGACAAGACTTTTGACCAAGGTCCATTCAAATGTTATGGATTCCATATTGCAAAGATTAGACATTTTTTCACAAATGCTTATGATGTCAAGGGGTTAAAGTCCTGAGAACATTGCAAAAAATGGTTTTGAATATATCAAAGGCAAGGAGTATAGGCTTATCAAGTTTGTTGCTTCAAATACAAGTCAACTGGACCTTAAGGTTCAAACGTTGAGTTAAAGTTTCATCGAGGATCAAGCATGGGATTTGAAGTCAATTGAGACTCAATCTTTTATGAAAGCTTGAGTTGCACATAACTATTGGTTTAAAATGGACATAAAGTCAAAATTTATCAACATTACTTTCTTCAAGTCCCATCTAATCGTGTTCATGATTTTGTTTCCATTCATTTACATGAAAAGTTCCAATCAAGTTTAATTCATTGTTATATATTCAAATACATTCAAAAGTTCACTCAATACTAGTCAAGTTTCATTCTATCCAAAGTATCAATTCCATGACTCTTAAATCTACTTCCTGCTGCCAAAGACCAACCACAACAATGCATAAGCGGCTGCACCTTTAAGACAAGTCCAATGGCATGCTATTAACCGCCCTGATACCAACCTACTGCTCAGATTTGCACAACCTTGCACTTTACAAATAAAACAGTCCATGAATAAAAAGTTCAAACATAAACCAAGCTTCAACAAAAACCAGAGCAGGATATTAAATCAGAAGTAAAGTTCTGAACAGAAAACTCGAGAGAAAGAATCAGTTCAGCTGTCCTATTTGCTAAACTGAAAACGCGTATGCATTCACATATGAAAAACAGGCTGCAAGAATCATTTCAAAGGAGAAGTTAAAACAAAAATCTGAAAGTGAGAAAACAAGAATTGAGGACAGTCCAGAAATAGAGAAAAATAATCAGAAAAATCAAGAACAGAATCAGCCATGCTGCAACTTTTTATACCTTATGCAACCCTGCAGCCATATTAAAACCAGAAGACCATTCGCATCTTGTAAAGCTATTTAAACAAAAACCAAGGCCCCGAGTCAACTCAATGTAAATTCTTCTTCCGGAGTTTGCAAAGCATCGAATAATTTGCTTCATGTTGACGCTCCTTCCAAGTTATTGCAGAATTTGGTTCCTGCTGATGCTCCAACAACTTCATAACAGAATAAAAAAAATTAAGTCAGAAAGAAGAAACTGTTAATTCAGGAAACAGTAACTTAATAACAGATCCATAAATAACTAAGCGAGATTTCGACCTTCCTAACTAACTCAAATAACGGAATTCTAACAACTACCTCTAACCGTCTTCCTGATAACTTCCTAACTAAAGCCTAACTGAAATTAAAAAAAACAATAACTAACAAGAAAAGACTCCTAGCCAATTTCTCATCCACCTAATCTCTTCCCTCAAATCCATAACAAACTCTCAAAAATATACCAGCTAGGGTTTCTGACCTAAACCTATGTAACAAATTGATAACATATTGGGAGAAAGAGGTGCTAACAGATTTGTAACAGACTTCTAAAAGGGAGGATTCGTAACGGAAAATTGAAAAAAACTATCAAGAACTCACCTATGATATTCTCTCATCTCTTTACATTCTATCTGAAATATCTACTTCCTTCAACATTTACATTGATTCTTCAAGGTCTTCAATCTTTATCTTCCTTGATTCATCTTCTGCAAATCGCGTATCTCTGTGAATCGTATTAGAATATGAAAATCACCATCATTTTCATCCAACTTCAATCTTCGTCACATTACACCTTTAATGCATCAATGTAAACATAAGTTTTTGTAGCTTCATCACCTTCATCATTCTCGGCATCATTCACACAACGTCTTCACCATTATTGAGAACTCAGGAAAAATCACCGCCGATAAAAATTCAAGAATTCAGTCCTCTCTCATCGATCTCTCTTCAATGAATCTTCATCTTCCTGAATCACAACCTCTAAGCCCTCTCTGATTATCTACAATTCTGGCTTCATCTTCATCTCTATTGCAAGCGCTAGAAACTTGATTCTCCCTTTCATCTTCAACCTTCATTCTCTCTTTCATCGACACACTTCATATCATCTCTCTGCATCGCTCGCATTACAGAACTCTTTGCAAAAATAACGAACATCAACAATGATTCAGAACACATGAAATCGGAAGAAAAGAGAGGAAGCATAATCAAGAACGATAAGTATGCATAACTGAACCATTTTTTTTTCAGATTCCTCTGCGTTTTCGTCAAGATTGAAGAATAGCTTGAGTCTCTGAATCGTGTTTCGTCGAAGCTTCACAGCCGTTTGAATCTGATGGAAATTTGACGCCACCGTGAGAGAGAGACGATGAGTGGCTCTACAATGGAGAAGCCAATTGAAGTATACGGCAGCAAGTTTCGTTGATCGAAGAAGGATGAAAGTCATCGTCACCGTTTGCAAGTGAGAAAAGGAAGGGGGGAATATGTTGTTCACGGAATTTCAATCGTCATTCCCTTTCTTAACCCTAATCCCTTTCTAAACACATCATATTATCTAATTCATTATTGTTTAATTTTTAACTCAATAATTACCCAATATTTGAGTGGATTATAGATGTAGGTGTGATATCTTGGTGGACCGAGCCATATTTCAAGGAGGCTCATGGCCATTTTTTTTGAAACGTTGGAAACAATAAAAAATATGTCATTGGACTTCATCTAATGGGTCTATCACTCTTGCTACAACGGACCCCATGAATCCTGTTTAGCCTCCCCCCTATCTTTCTAAATTCTTTAGTTTTAGATTTTGTTTTTTTTAGTTTAATTTTGTTTTTTTAATAAAAATAGTGATATAATACATGATAGAAAACAATACAAAAATATATAATAAAACAATAAAAATTATAGATTTTAGGAATGCCTCTTATAATTTTTAGGAAGTAAACTACAAAAAAAATCAATAAAATTTGTTAGATTTTTCATTTGATTTTTAGGAAATTAATTTCTAATTTTTCGATTACTTGAAAGTTGTGCTTCACTTCTGCTTGTTGAGTTGAGTCTTATGCAGGTTCATTGTTTGATACGCGGACATGTTAGAATTTTTGATTGTGATTTATTTTTACATCGATGATGTTCCGATACTATTTCCGATCATTCGATTTTTGGCTGTTTGCTTGTTGATGTCAGCTCGCATGATGTATTTCTGGTTTCCTGGCTTTGGTTGCGCTTTTTGCGGACATTATTATTCGTTTGGTATTATATTGCTTTCAAGTTATATTTCCTCATTTATCGCTTGCTAGATATCATGAGAAGTTGGAAATAAAGAGTGTGCGCTCGAAGTTGTTGTTTAAAGACATGTAGCAGGCATTCCGCACTTCATTTATTATATGTGTTGTGCTTGTGTTTGTTTCCTTTTTTTGTTGATCGATGAGTCATTCAATTTAGAAATTGAGATCACGACTTTTCTCTCAGTGCATGCTCCCTATAGGATTTTATTGCTTTCCTTTATTTCTTGTTGATCGATGAGTCACTCAATTTAGAAATTGAGATCACGACTTCGCTCTCATTGTATGTTCCCTATAGGATAGTTTGTTATACTTCCTTTGGCATGCTAACTTAGACAGGATCCCTCATTTTATGATAACATTAGGTTAGATATAGGTTAGTCTCCCTTAGATGTTTTTCTTCCCATTTTTACATAATTACATTTAAAACTAAAACTTCTTTTTCTTGGCAAATGTGTAAAAAATGCTAAGCATACAAAAATTCTTTTCATGGTAAAAAAAATACCAACCAATCCTTTTATTTTTTCCATTCGGATTTTCTCTTCTAAGAGCATTGTTAGTTCCTTTCCACTACAGGTCATAAGTCTCCAAAGGTCGAGCAGCGGTGGAATGATTGAATGCAACATTGCTCATTTAAAAAATACAAACAAACAAAGTATATGAGCCGAGCTACGACACTCTGATTCCTAAAAATGGATACGTAGGCATCTGGTCATGGGGCTCAGCCGAGCAAAAATTTGTAAATATTTCCTTCTTTTCCCTGTGTTTTCTTTGCATTCATTCCCTCTTAGTTTATAACTCTTAAGCATTAGATTCAACACACCCTTTGATTAGAATAACGAGAGTGGATCCCGTAGAGTATTATGGACGTGTGGAGTGCTAATACCTTCCCCTAGCGTAATCAACTCCTTTACCCAATCTCTCGGTCTCTCTCTCAACAACAACAACGGAGGGAGGAGGAAAAAGGAGAGATCTCTTGTCCGTCCTCCTCCGTGTTTGGTTGTTGAGAGAGATCATGATTTTGCCGCTACATAAAAATGGTGACTTCAGTGGGGAATGTTAGACATCCCATGAGTCAATCCTAGATCCCATTTTTATTTCTTAAGGTGTTTGTCATTTTGTTTTATAGCTTATTCATTTGTATATGTTTGAGCATATGTTTACATTGCATCTTTGTTGTTATTTGTTATATTGTTGTTGTGTTGGCTTCTCTGTTTCTTTGTTGGGTGGGTGTTACTACTGAGGTAAAAGGCCCAGTACCCATGCCAGAGTGCACTAGGACACTAAGAATAGAGTGGGGGCATGACGGCTATAGGACGTGGTCCAATTAGTGCAGTTATGTCATATACCACACTCGGATGAGGTTCAAATGGATTAATATTGACACCTAGTCTTTACCCGTGAGCAGGGAGGGAGTAATATTTCTAGGTACAGATGGTGACTATATATATGTTCTGCTGGTGACTTTGGTTCTTGGTATTCTGACTTGGTCTGGACTTTTGATCTTGTTACGTGTGACCTTGGTTCTATTATCAGTCCAATAGCTATTCAGTACCGCAAAAGCTTTGATCCCATATATTTGCATACATAGCTTGTTAAAATAATTATTAGCATACATGTTTTTTGTTTCCAAACATCATTCATTGATTCCAATTGTTAAGCAAAAAAATATATGTGAATAAACATTGAAAAAATAATAAATACATGAAAGAATACATAATAATATCATGGCTCAGTAATAGGAATCAAAGCGTATAAATTTTTAGAAATAAGAACATGGCATTTGTATCGCATGTCATGCATCATTTTGCACTTAACTATGTAATTCATGAGTAGCCCAGAAGTCTTACCCAGGGTCCTCTGGTCTTCAAAATCAAGTTGTCTCATCAGTACAACACTCGTGCTAAGAGAAGATGGAAAGCATTAAGAAATATATCTTTGAACTCCGCAAAGAGGTAACTACTTTGAAAGCTGATATGGAATATCTAACTGCTTTATTAAAACTTTGGTTGCCGCCCAAGTCAATCCTTCTAGGAAGGAAGAAGAGATAGCAAAAGTCTTCATAGAAACTCTAAATTCATTCTTTCACGAGAAAGTGATAGTCAACGCACCCAGCGAGTTCCCAGAAAAGGAAAATGTGGGAGTGCTTCTAGAAGAGGATGTTCGAAAGGAATGTTTATCTGAAGACATTGGCAAAACTAGTGGTGTGAAGAAGTTTGATAATAACTTTTCCAAGAAGAGAACCAGAGGAAGAAACAATCATCGTCAGAATCAACATGTTTCTTCTGTCATCCCTGTGTTCAATTTACCTCCTGCCGATCCACTTTCTCAACAGAATCAACAAGTTTCTGGTCAAAAGAAAGCTCAGTTTGATCCAATTCCAATGACCTATACAGAGTTGTTTCCTATCCTAATGCAGAGGAATTTGGTTCAGACCCGACCTCCATCGAAGATTCCTGAGAAGATTCCTTGGTACCACAAAGTTGATTTGAATTGTGCCTTTCATCAAGGAGCCCCTAGGCATAGTACTGAAGAATGTTATCCATTAAAAGCTGAAGTCCAGAAATTGGTCAGGACTGGTATCTTATCACTTAAGGACATTTGTCTTGAGGTTCAAGCCAAGTCTTTGCCGAAGAATAAACGTGATTAATAGACACCCTGGGTTTTAAGTAAGATTAGATTTCTTATGTTTACTAGCAATTTTACTGATCTCTCATTTGTAATTTTTCTTGTCAATCATTGTACTGTTTTCATGTAAGAACTTGTTTACATTCGAATGATTATCTTAATACAATTAATATGTTTGTCTTGAAGAAATCAATTCGTTTCACTCGTATTTATTTTTAATTTTAAATTGCTTTTTGCATTATGATACCAACTTGTTACCCATTATCTTGCCTAAGCATAGATTGGAGGGGGGATGATGAATTTAAAATGCAAAATTTCTAGTTGTATGCTTTTGAATAAAACTCTGATGACGATATACATACATTGTTTCAAATTCCCAAACACTGGAGATATAAGGAAGTGAAGCCCTTGTTAACCCCTTTAAGCCTTGAAGTAGGAGTTTCTTTTTTCTTCAAAAAAAAACCTCAATTTAACCCGGGGCAGGGTAGTCTTCAGTTAATTTGATTGAGTATTCAGAACTCATCAAAAATGCGCATCTAAGAATACAACAATGGTTATCCTTCAAAAGGTTGAGGAAAGTCAAAACTGCAATGGCTAACCTTCACATATCAAGAGTGTGCATCAATTTATGATATCCCAATGAGTATCTCTCGCATGTCAAGAAGTCAGTAGACGATACAACAATGGTTATCCCTCATATTCCAAGAAACAGGGCAGTCACAATTCTTCCGACAAGTCAAAAATGACTCAACGTCACGCGACATGTTCAAAAGGAAAGAAAATGTAATATAAAAAAATGAAAAAATGAAAGAAAAAATAAGAAGTGATTAAAGAAAGAGACAAATGGCCCCACTAAGTCGAAACTTGAAAAAACAAGTCGCTTAAGCAAAAGTCAGGGCATCCCGCTGGGCTTCATAGTCAAATTACAAAAGAATTTGTCCAGGCAAAAGCTAGGGAAAATGATGGAAAACCTGAAAGGAGAAAAAAGGATTACAAAATGGATATCCTTAGAAAAGAAATATGTTGTGTGATCAGACACTAAAAGTAAAAATAAGTGATTGTCGTATCCAAAGAAAATCTCGGTTTTTTCCTCAACTATCTCAAATTTTCTTTTTAGAGATGAATGTTTGGGTTGAATTAACTGAACTTAGGACTGGAGAACATTATGAAGGGGGTGCGCACCAAATAACTTTGAGCCTTAAAATCTGTTTTTTATAAAACCGTGAACCAGGCCACGTTACAACCTTCAAAAGTCCTAATTGAAACAAGGTTTATTTCGAAAGCGTACTTCAACGAGATAGCGTTTTCTGACTCTCATGAATTTTGCTAAAAAAATTTGCGTTGGTATCATATGCTCTTGTTATCTTTGATAAAAATTAAAAAAAATCAATTTTTCTTCATGGCTAGTGATTCATTCACAAGGTTTTGCGAAATATTTTCAATAAAATCTTCAAGACTTACATAACTGTTGCATTAGAATTATCATTCTTAGAATAAATATTATTCTGCTTGTAAGACCACTGTTGATATCAAA